TTCCCTGGTGGCTCAGATAAACGAGCCTGTCACAACAACGCAACCACCTAGAATATTTGTTTTCATTTGCCACTTGGAATTCCCCTTCCACTCCTTTGCTGGGTCATGCTCGTGTTTGGGAGCAGCAGCCAGGGTTTCTAGGAGCCTCTTTTTGCAAGCTTTGGTGCCTCTCCGAGCTCGCTGGGGTCATGGGGCAGCTCCAGCTCGCCGATTGCTCATAGTCCTGAACGCGTCTGATCTAGCAAAGTGAGTTTGCTCCTTTGAAGTCCTTGTTTCATGCCAGGCCTCCAAGGGCCTTTCCACCAGAGGTTTTGCCTTCATGTGTCTTCACTCATCAATATTTAAAACCTGTCATCTCTAGTGCAGTGCAAATAAGATCCCATTCTGGCTTACAAGCAGCTACATATAGCTTTACCTGCAGAGTTATATAAATGCAGTCCTAATTAATTGGCGCTCTTGCCTTGCATGAATAATAGATCTGGATAGTGTAAATACACACAGTAGTTTCAGGCTTGGAGAAACGTGGGAAGTGTGCATTCGCAGTGGGAGAGGGAGGGCAGAAAACAGGGAGAAAAGGAGGCAAATAAAGAGAGATCTTTGAATCTCTCCCCTTTTTTTACCCCCCCTTTCTGCATGCACTTTCCACATGCAGTTTTCAGCTGCATCTCACTGAGCTCAATCCCTACTTTAAACAGGGTCCCTGTCATCCTGATGCTGCTCGGCACCGGCGTGAGCAGAGGCAGAGGGGAGATGGGTGCGTTGCTGGAGGCTTTGCCCACTGCAGTGCCACGTCGTCTCCAGATGTTTGCCAGCTGCCGAAGCGGGGCCGTATGGGGAAGGCAGCTGAGCGTGCCGGGAGGCTGTGCCGCTGCCGATTCAGCCCCGCATTGCTGAGCTGGCGGTGCAGAGTTTAGCTGAAGGTGCTCATAATGCGACTGTGACAAATGACTTGCTTATAATGTGACCTGACAAAAATGCTGTTGAGCTGGAGGGAAGCTCTGTACTCCTGGCCTCGGTAAATGTATATATTTCATCCCACTCACAGCCTCAGCCTGAAGAGCCTCACTGTGGCAGGGGGCAGAGGTCCTTTAAATATCCAAAAGAGCATCAGGCCTGGCTTTGAAAGAAAACCGTGCTTGGGGGGCTCAGTTCCCAGCTCCTAGGGTTAAATAGGCTTTTTGGTGTGGAAATGGGCCGCTGGCCGGGTGGTCCCCTGGAAGGATGGTGGTGCGCTGCTCCCTCCCTGGGAAAAATGCTTTTGTCTCTTTCCTTGGAGGGGTTTGGCTTTGTTGGCCTGCCAGATTGGCAATAAAGACCGATCGGGTGATTTTTAGTTAAGAAATAGCTGTGGCATTCAGAGCCTTGCCTCCTGCCAGCCAAACCCAGCCTACACAAGCATTATTGTGCTTTATTCAGCAACGTGCTATTTTAACTGAAAAAAACCCCAACATTCAAACCCACCCCAAACCCAGAGTGGTACGCACTATGACTGGAAGCTCAGGGTAATGTGTATTCAACCTGTTAGTCAAAAGATCGGTGCTCCTGAGTGCACGGGAGCAATGACCATCACCAACAGCGCTCATCTGAGGAGGTCAGGGAGCGCTGGCAAAGCCAAGAAATCCCATGTGTTACCATTACTGCTGCAGAGTTACCACGTCCCGGTGGTGTATCCTCTGCAATTCCTAGTCTAGAGTTCAAAAAAATATGAACAACCCTACATTTGCGTTGTACTCGGCGAGGACAGGCGTATGCATGGAGTAACACATGCATCCCCGGCTTACGTGGGCAGCGTGAGTGACTATGCCTGGCGTGGGACACGCCGGAGTCTGGAGCTGGCAGGTTATTTCAGGTTGGATGTGATTTTCCTTCCCTGAGGCGAGTGGAACAGCACTGATAAATATGGCTATAGGTGGCACTAAAGCTGTGCTGCAGCTCGAACGTTAAGCTAGAGGAAATCGGCAGAATCCCTGTGCAGGATGGCTGTGGATGTAACCTGTGGCTGAGGAGATGGCAGCCAGAAAGGCAATGGCTCCTCCCTGTATTGAAATGGGAGGGTGTCTTGAACTGTTTGTTAAAAAAACTATGTATCTGTCTAAAGGTGTATCTATCTTTGAAGGTATCTATCTATAAAGATATCTGTAGATACCTATCTCTAGGGAGATATATAAAGATATATAATAGAGTATAGAATGGAACATAGAATGGATATATAATAGAATTATAATATCTATAATAGATATCTATCTAATAGAGTAGATCTATTAGATAGATGTCTATTATAAATATATGTATTAGAGATGGAACTATTTTATTAGACAGATATCCAATTAGATATCTAATCTATCTATATTAGATTATAGAGGTAGATCTATAGAATGTCTATAATAAATCTCTATAGATATCTATAATAGGGATAGATAGATATATAGAATATATCTGGATAGATATCTATTATAGAGATAGAACTGCAGAATATCTATAATATGTATGTAATATCTCTATAGATAGGTATCTATAATAGAGATAAATATCTATATAGAAGATATCTATATAGATAGCTCTCTACAGATAGATATAGATACCAAATCCATCTGTATATGCAGTGCAGGTTTACTGCAGAGCAGCAGTTTAAAGTGGATGCATCTTTGTCTCCAGATAGCTCAGCCAGCTCCTCGGGCAGAGCTGCTGTAGTCAGCTGCCAGCTCCGGCCCTCCACGTGACTTAGCTCATGGACGGCGTTGCCAGCCCCGCCGGTGCCTGCCTCGCCACCGCAGTCTGCTCAGCCGTTGTGTGTTGGCAACAGGGAAGAAAAAAAGGGAGAAAAACAGGACCAGGTTTATGCTTCAGCAGGTTGCCTCCCCATTAGCGCTGCACGCGTGTCGCTGCACCCAGCGCATGATGGAGTGCCTGCAGGCTGCAGAGCCCCAGTAGCCAATATTGGCATTTGAGTGCCCTCTGCCGATGTGCTGGCTGCGGGGCTGCAGTGCGGAGCAGCCCGTGGCCCCTCTGCCTCATGGCAGAGCACTGCAGCAGTTTGCTGCGAGCCCCTGCTCCCCAGGATGGGAGAGCAGGGTGGTTTGGGTAGCTGGAGTTAAAAGGGGGTTAAAAGCAGGGGGTGTGGGGGCTGCGGGTGTCAGCTGGGTGCCCAGCGCACCCTGGGTGGCTCACAGGAGGCTGGAGGTTGTCATCACCCCAAAACGCCCTGGCTTGCTGTTGGCAAAGGTGCTACAGAGCCGAGCAAGCAGGGATGCGACCCAGGAGGCAGAGGGCAGGGGTGGCCTGAGGACAGCAAGGCAAGCCCCTCCACCTTGCTCATTTTGTGTTTCAAAAAGGAAAAAACTCTTGGATTTTGGTCTTCTGTGTTAGCTTCTGGTCTCAGCAAGCGTAAGAGGGACACGTTCCTCTCTCGGCAGGCAGTAGCTCCCCCAGCACCTTCCCTCATCCTCATGGGTGGGTTTGGGGCTGAAACGTGAGTTCCCATAAGCAATGGGCTCGCGCAGCTCCCGGGGTGAGCCCCCCCTGCGGCCGGGGCGTGATGAACACACCAGTCGGGCACACTGGTAAGTGAGGACCATGCACTGCCTGTGAGGCTTCACCTGCAAGCGGGAGGAGAAATGAGGTTGCCTGCATGGTGCGGTGCTGCCAGGAGGATGCTGTGGGTTCTCTGAAGCCGGTGCCAGGCACCGGAGCATGTGAGGATGAGGTGGGATCGCCAAGCCCCTCTACCACCCCAAACAGACCTGCCTGCTGGCAGGGCATCTCCTCAGGCGGGCGGGAGCGTTGCGGGTCACTGGGCTAGGTGGCTCGCCAAAAACTGTGAGAAAAAGGACTTTGAGCCCCCAGGGAGAGGAGCGGGGGTGCTGACCTGTGCCTCCTGTCCCCACAGCAGCAGAGGCGGGAGAAGGAGCTGCGGAAGCAGCAGGAGCGGGAGCAGCGGCGGCACTACGAGGAGCAGATGCGGCGGGAGGAGGAGCGGCGGCGTGCGGAGCACGAGCAGGTAACCCGGCAGGAGTGGGGTGATCGCTTTCGGCACGGATTCCTCTTCCTCTAATCAGAGGTTTTTCTTGTAAACACATTTTTTGCCACTTGAGAGCAAATTGCTTAATTGTTAACGCCGCATGTGTCGCTTTCCACTGCCATCATTTATTTCTGTGTGGATCCACTTGCTGGCCCGCAGGTGTGGAGACACTTAATGCAGGTTTTTCCCACCCGCTGGTTCCCAGGGCAGGGCTCTGTGGTATTCCCAGTTAATGTTTGCCATTTCCCAGTGTTTTTTCACCCTTTACCCTCAGAGGTCCCTAGTAGAGTGATGGATATACCCAAGGCTCTTTGGGCAGGGTTGGAGGGTGCCTGGGCTGATTGATCGGTGTCAGCTCTCAGGTGGGATGGATGTGGGTGCCCACCTCATTCTCCTTTCTCTTGGGAAACACTGTCTCTTTTACCTTCTCTCTCTTTTTTCCTTTGATCCTTGCTGCCCACGCCTCCAGGAGTACATCAGGCGACAGTTAGAGGAGGAGCAGAGACAGTTAGAGATCCTGCAGCAGCAGTTGTTGCAGGAGCAAGCGCTACTTCTGGTAAATGGGAGGCCCCGGCCACGCTTGCCGCTTTCCGCCCGTGTCGCGTGTGCATGTGCCCACATGCACCCGTGTCCCCCGAGTGCCTCCTGCCATGCCGAGACACGGGGGACACCGTGGCCACGAGCATGCCTCGATTCCCCCACCGCGGTGCCCGCTTCTCTCGTTGCATCCCTTCCGCGGCATTGGCGCGCTTGTGCCTTCGTGAGAGGAGCGGCCCTCTTTGTGGCCGCCTAATTTTGGAGGCTGTCGGCAGCATGTTGGAGCATGGTCGAGCTGTCGCGTGCCTGTGCCTGGCAAACCCGCCCTGCCGTGCTGGTTTTCATATTCTGAGTGAAGGCTTTTGTTTTAATTTCCTTGCAGGAATTCCGTCTCGTGCTGTTCGCATTCTAGATGTCCTCTTTTTTTATTTAATTTATTTTTGAGTTACCCTTTTTTAATGCTGTCAGCTGTTACTCTCACTGCGTTTTCTTTTAATCCGCAGGGATTATTCTTTTTCTCTCTTGCTATTAATTTTATTTAGGGAAAAGAAAAACCCTCACACAAGCCCTGGCCTTTTAAAAAGGCCCTTTCAAAATTATTTACTCATTAAACCTCACAGAGCTGTAGGGATTCAGAAAGACCGTACAGCTGGCTCAGCTGTACAGACAATAAATTCATCCTACAGAGGACTTGGCTTCAGTTGGGTTTTGGCTGACCCGGTGGTGTTTGGCACCTCATCGGATGGATGCTTTGTTCTTCCCATCCAGAAAAATCTGGGCAAAGTCAATGGTAACTCATAAGGGAAGGTCTGAGCCCTCGAGGGGTCTCGCAGTGTTTCCCCAGCGAGGCAGCACTGGCTGCAAAGTGCCGACGCCGGGGTCACAACTCTGAATTTGCTGGCACTGTCCTCCCAACTGTCTCTCCTCCAGGATGCTTTACAGCTGGGTCTCCAAAGTCTTTCAAATCAATAAGCTTTGCCAGAAAACAGCCTTTCAGATACTCAGGCCCAACTTTCCACCCCAACAGATGAATCTGCAGTTTGCAGCCCCGTGTTTGCAGGCTGGCCGGGCACCTGTGTCACTGTGCTTTCTTCTGGGTAGGAGTATAAGCGCAAGCAGCTGGAGGAGCAGCGGCAAGCGGAGAGGCTGCAGAGGCAGCTCCAGCAGGAGCGGGACTACCTGGTCTCCCTGCAACAGCAGCAGCAGCAGCAGCGGCAGGACCAGAGGCCGGCAGAGAAGAAACCCCTCTACCATTACAAAGAAGGGATAAATGCCAGCGAGAAACCAGCGTGGGCCAAGGAGGTAGGCGAGAGTGAGGAGCGTGGTGGTGCTTCTCTGCATCTGCAGGGCTGGGCACGTGGGTCAGTCCAAAATACATACAGCAGATTGTGCTCTGCTGGGTCAGCCTCCAGCAGATGCCATTAGCTGTGCTGGAAACTCTCAGTTCAATGCAACGTGTGTGCATCTGTGTGTGTGTTTGTGCAAGCAAAGAGAGTGGAGGAAAGAGGTTTTTCTATGGGGGCATGCAAGGAGGAGGACGTATCCCTCCTGGAGTGGTTCAGCCATAGCTGGAGACTTGTGGACATGCCAGGAGCTCCTGATGTTCCTTCCTGGTATGTCCACAAGTCTGCTGGGGGTCAGGGGCGAATGCGGAGGGTAGTTGTACAGGGTTCCTTGCTGAGCACTAATTCAGTTCCCCATAATCAAACGGGGACCAGACAGCTTTGCCTCCCGTGCTCAGGGTTGTATCTCTTGGGATTGCTCTTCTTTCATGGTTTTCAGGAAGGCAAGCCACGTTGCTGATTTTATTTTTCTCTCTAGCAAAGAGGGAATTGTAACAATTGTGAGATCTTGAATATTAATTATTGCCTGGTTGCATAGTCTTGAAAAGATGAAGACATGTATTGTCTGCAGTGCAGTTTCAGGATCATGTGCAAACTCTTTCTCCTTAATCTCTTTGTGGTGGCTCCGGTAAGACTGGTGCCCACTCCTGCTATTAATTTTTCTAAAGTTCTTTGTGTTTAGTTGGTTTAATTTTGTAACCCTACTCCTGGGCAGAAAGATCTTTTAGTAACTCGCCTGTGTCTTCCTACTAAGCAGGATCACAGCTCTGCTGCCAAATGTCTGGCACCCTTTAGTCCTGGCAGAGATGCGATGTGCATCCAACACGTAGCTGCCTCCTGATCATTCCTCTTGACAGCCTTCAGCTGCCTCCACAATACCTGCAAGCATCAAGTGCTCAAGAAATTCAATCAGCTATCTATTGCTAAGGAAAGGCCAGTAGTACGAACAGTTCAGAGATAGATGTGCGTGTCAAAAACTCTTTTCACCTCTTTATACTCCCTTGGGTTTCTCTGTTCCCTTCTGATTTACTCTTCAGAGTCTTCTGGTGGCGATGCACAAGATGACAGATTTTCATAGAGTCGCAGTGTTGTTCTCCAGCCCTTCCGGTGGAAGAAGAGGTTTGGTAGGTGGGTCTGCAGATGGGATGTTCCAGATGTGCTGAGCCGCCTCTGATGGGAGAGGCTTCCACCTGGGTGGTGCCTCTGCGGCTTTGTGCAGAACTGGGTCTCCACTGTCCATCTCCAGAAGTGCGGATAGTAGGCAGCGGGCAGGAGAAAGGGAGTAAACTCTGTCTTTCGTTGCCTGGTTTTAAATAAATCCTCTAGAAAGTTGCTAAAGTACCTCTGGCGCTGTCTTCAAAACTATAACAAAGATACATAAAAAGGAATCTTATTCTTTGTCTGGGGCGAAGGAGAAAAGTGCTGGATTTAGCTTTCCATTTCAAACACAAAGGCCCATTTCTTCTGTTCTTTGAGGTGTCTTTCTTTGATGCCGTCACTGGAAGCAGGACATTGGGAACTGTATGGTGTGGATAAGAGCAGCAGAATGTGGCCTCACACTCTTTGCTGAAATCATAGGGAAGATGAGCTTTCCTGTTGTTGGGGAACATCTCCAGCTTCCACCAATTAGCTCTCCAGACCATTTATTCTTTACCTGTGTCACTCTGTCCCGTTTCTAATGAAATGCTCAAAGCAGTGACTGTGGCATCTTCATCCTCTTGAGAGCAGTAGTTTGATGTACTGCCTTGACACAACACCCTTGGGAACTTCCCAAAACTACTCCTCCTGCCTCCATCCCGTTTTATCTACTGCATAGACCCATTTTTAGCACAATTCAGCTACTTTGCTGCATATACTGAAGTACCATCCTGGCTGGCTATACAGATAGATTTGCACTGATATTTAATCAGCCTACCATGGTTCTTGCTATAGTTTAGCAATTTCCATACCCAACCCATGCATGCTAATTTAACAGAAATATTGAGACGTCGTTTTCCTTTGGGAACAAGGAAGAGACAAGTCTGATGCTCAGCCTACAATTTCTGGAGGCTCTGTAGAGCTTATTGGGATATTTCGTGAGGATTTTGCATGACATCCCGCACCGTCCTTTGTTTTATGCTCTTTGGTCTCAAGTCTTCTCTCTCAGGAGCTTGATCACCACAGCTGAGTTCTCCTTGTGCCATGCCCCTCTCTGCTTTTCATACCTCTCCTTATGCATTTGTTTTCCCACCTCACACATGGTGTCTCCAAGTCCCCGCAGACGTGGGGTAAAGCATGAAGGGGAGGCTGTGGCCACTCACGTTGCCGTTGTGCCTCCACGTCCCCTTGTTAAGGGACTGGCCTGTTGGTGAAGACAAAGCTCTGGGTTAGGAACCAGGCTGTACTGCATCTTTCATAGCTTCCCCAGAGCACATTCCAGGGTTTCTCTTTTTTATGCTAAACAAAACAGTCTGATCAAATACTCCTACCAACACGCATGGATGCACAACCATGCTGCTGTCCCTTCTACTCATCTTCTTGTGAGTGAAGGGTTATCCGCTGGAAGTTAACTTGGGGTATAGCTTGGGTGCTGTCCCAGACGTGCCCTGTTTACCCCGGCACATCCCTTCTTATAATCAAGGACTAGCTGGGCCTTTTTGGACATCATGTTGGGACCCTCTGATGATCCAGCCAGGGACATGTCATTAGCTGTCTAAGCAGTAGTACTGTAATTAGCAGCTCTCTCCATTACTGACTCTTCTGTTATGGACCAGTATTTGCTAAACAAAGTGATGCGACTAGCCAGGTCTAACTTCTCAGTGACCAAGAAGCTTGGTCAGCTGAAGGATGGGTTTGGGCAGGTATATGCCCTACATGACCATGCATAAAGGAGGGGACAGGTTTAATCGAACCTTTTCCACGTGGTGGCCGGGCCCGCGGTGCTTTCCCGCAGCTCAGAGCTTCCCGGGGGCTCGGCTGTGTGTCACGAGCCGTGCTGTTCCCTGCAGCAGCTGACACGCATGTCAGCTCCTCCCTCAGTCCCCGTGGCTTTTGTCCTTCTCTCGCTTTGAAGTGATGTATTAAAACATTAGCAGTCTTCCACTGGGACCTGCACAGAAGCTGCTAGGGATGTTTCCCATTTGAGGGGAATCTTGAGTTCAATTAGCGATGGCTGGAACTGGAGCAATGATGAATTCCTGCAGGGTTGTGCTGCTTTTTCCCCCTCTCTTCTTAATGGTGGAGTAGTAAGGCTCTATGAAGTACAGCTAGAGAGCCCCAAGAGCATCCTCTGCTGTGCTGGTGCGACAAAGCGCTAGCGAGGAGATGCTGGCAGTGGGAAAACCAAGCACCTTTCTCCTTCCCAGTACACAGACATCCCCATTTCATCACTCCTCCTCCCTTCTCCTCCATGCAAGCATTGAAGTCCTTCGTAATCAGCCGCGCATTACGGCTTGGCAGTGTGCCGGAGAGCGCCTGCAAACAGCCGGAGGCCTCGGCGGTGGCACCATCTCTGCCTGCTGTCATTCATGCCAAGGCTTGGCTGATGAGGAGATGAACTGGACCGGGCCTGCGACCCAGCACTCGTGCTGCTGCTCCCTCGTTCAGAGGGAGTTCTCCTTCCCGCCCTACTCTCCTTCCCATCCTTGCGTCCGCTCCCGTGGGCATCGCTGAACCGAGCTCTGCACGGCCTCTGCTAGCCGGTGGGCAGCGCCTGGGGCAGTCGTGATGACCTCTTGGGACACAGCAGTGGCGCCGGTGGTCCCTCGTGAACTAGAAAGTAAGGAGCCCATAACACAAATCTCTTACCTAAATTTTACTCTTGACTCCTGCTCAGTATCTGAAAGAGGAAAAGCTTCATTTTTATTAATATAATGGCTGGTTTGTTTCATGAGTATTTATTTACTTAAAGAAGAGCTGTGTTTCTTTCCAAGCAAACCTGTTTTAAAGATTGCCTTTTAACATGACATTGTACATGGTGGAATCAAGACATGCTAAGGGTATTTAACACGTTAATGATACATAAATGAAAATATATGTCAGATCTCGAGGTACCAAAAATTCTGCATAGCATATGCTGCATGAATATCAATGCATACAGTCTAACTGCAGGAGCACCCGGATTGCACATATGTCTGGGTTAGCTGAAACCGCTGCATTTTGATCAGGGTAACTGAAAGCAGTGGGCTTTAGGTTTATTTCTCTATCAGTGGTAGAGGTTTTTCCCCTTCTATACATGACAAGGTGCCAGACTTGCTAAATCCTAGATCAAAGCCAGCCATTTCCTGGTGCCATGTTTATTCTTTTATTTGGATCAAACAAAAGCACTCCTCATGCTGTTTATAGTAGTGAAGGCAAAGGGTCCCCTTGCTTAAAGATACATTTGAGAAGAAGCAAGAGCTTCTCAGGAGTCATCTTCTAGAAACACCTCTCTGAGGCATGTTGCCTTTTCTTTATTTTTCCATTTCATATTCAGAAATGAATTATGCGCATAAATACAGAGAGTCCTTTCGGTGTCTTTAAAATGCGTTTATTGCACTATCTGCTGGGTAACTTGGATTCCGTGATCATACAATATATATGATATGCCTGAAGAGGAAAGAGCTTCCTATATATGCATACCCTGGTTTTCAATTGGAAAAGGCTTTTTACGGGGCATTCACCCACTCTCCCCATCTCGCCGCAGGTGGAGGAGCGCTCCCGGCTCAATCGCCAGAGCTCGCCGGCCATGCCCCATAAGGTGGCCAACCGGATTTCTGACCCCAACCTGCCTCCTCGGTCGGAGTCTTTCAGCATCAGCGGCGTGCAGCCGGCCCGGACCCCACCCCTGCTCCGACCCGTGGACCCGCAGGTAATGGTGCTTCCCCCGGCAGGCTCACCTACCGGAGCCAGGATGCTGGGGGTGCTGGTAAGGTAACAAGAAAAAGAGCGGATTAGAGGGAAATAGTGTCTTGCTCCCTGGTTTCTCAGCCTTAAGCGTATTCGTGAGTAAGAGCAGCATCTACATTCATGAGTGGATTCCTCTTGTCACCTCCATGTGCTAGAAACATCACGCTGGTTTATACCTTCCTTTGAAGCATCACGTACTGGTTACTGCCAGAAACAAGCTGGAGGACCGAGAGGAACCGCTGGTCTGGTCCAGTGCGGCAGTTGCTCTGTTCCTCTTCGGATCTGGTTTATTTAAAGGACCAGAAAAAACCACAGCGCCTGGTACAAAAGACCCAGGACGCTTTGATGCTGAGGATCATCAGAAAGAGGTTTTTGCTTTCTTTGCCGCTTTAATTCAAGGTTTTGTTTTGGTTTTCCATTGAGTTGACATCAGTCACAAACACATCTGGAGAGGGCATAGATCACCATGACCATCTAAAAATTCCTCCCAGCCATGAGGTCTGTAAGTACTCTGCCACCAAAAGCTCTGCACTGAGTGTCGGTGCCAGCTCTGGTCCAGCCCCTGGAAGTGCTCCCACAGCTCCGCAGACTCCAGCAGGGATTTCAGAGGGAAGTACAAAGCCTTTGCTCCGTGTCCACGTGGGCTTCCTATGGGAAAATGTGCCAAGTGCCATCCACGTGTGGTATGCGCACCTCTAGGTCACCAGTGTGATGCCAGCTTTAAACAGAATACGGGTGGGAAAGCCCTTAAACATACAGCTCTTTTTCCCCCAATGTACATGGTCTATATACGTTGGGAAGTGGGGAAGACCCACTTCACCGTAATCTCTCTGTTTGACCAAACAATTTTCAGTGACCTTTTTGACGACCTGTATTGTCAACAGCTACAAAGACTTTTGTTTGGTAATAAAATACTGATGAAAAGGTTGTTTGAATCCCAGAGACCCATGTAAATGTCTGCATGCATACACATGTGCACATGATACATGTACGTGTGTACATAGAGGTGTGCGTAGAAATGTCAAATAAAAGTTACAACCCCACTGTATCAAAGAAGTGCAGCTTCACAGGGTCCTGGGAAGAAGCTCCGATTTCACGAACTCTAACTTTCACGAATTTCTCAGATTTCCCAAAACAGATGTCAGTATTCTCTTCACTCATAACCCTTAGATCTATAAGGCTGATCCATGGGATAGGGGCTACCTAGACCTATAGGAACTGATGCCTCAAGATACGCTTTTTTAAGCCATCTATGCCTCAATGCCTGACGATTTCTTTTTATTAATTATTATTTATTATCGTTTCCTTCTTTTTTTCATTTTTTAACAAGGAAAATCCATGCCAAACCTCATTAGCACAACCTTAGAGGTGCAGGTGTAGGAGCTGGAAATTCGGCAGAGCCTGGGGCGGGCATGGGGTGTGCGGGAGCTGGCGG